GCCAGCAACATGCTTTCATGTCTCGGCTTCTGAGGAGGGACAGCTGTGGGCAGGAATTCTGTCCAACTCTTGCTCCTGACCAGCCTGGTGCAGGGGCTGGGGGAGCTGATTAATGCCCCAGCTATGAACAGGGAAGACACGTAACTGAGAAATCACACGAAACGCGAGACTGCTATGTAATGATTTACGAGCACAAGCCGTCTCTTCAAGCAGACGTTCGTGGGGCAGGAGCGGCTCTTTAATAGTATAATTCACGGCAGCTGCTTTAACTGAGCACCTAGTACGTGGCAAGCACACAGAGCTTCTCTGTGTACCATCGTACACATGGTACGACGTGTACGATGTGTACGATGGCACGTTCACTTGGCTGGACCCTTGCTGCCTCTGCTCTGCTCACCAGGGCCCCACGGGCTGCTTACACCTCACTGCTGGTCAGGGGAGAGTGGGGATTGGCCCAGGGTCCTCGGGCACTGCTGAGCTGCCTGGGTTGATGCTCCCAGGTCTGGGCAGGCAGGGAGCCCTCGTTCGGTGCACTGAGTGATCTCATGGGCCATGATTAATAAGGCCAGGTCATGATCCTAAGTCTAGTTATTTTTGAAGGTAGGATTTGGCCAGAATCCTGAGGCTAAAATAGAAGCCACACTTTGGATCCTTTGTGGTGTGTTATCCAGGGCTCCTGGTGACCTTTGTCCTGGCCCAGAAGCCTCTGGCTCGGACTAGAGTAGTGGTTCTCAAAGCAGGGTGCCCCTGGCCCAGCGGCAGTGGCATCACCCAGGAACTCCTTAAAGAGCACGTTCTGAGGCCCAGCCCCGGGCCTGCAGGCTCAGAAGCCAGGGTGGCGCCGTGCTCTGGGTATCAGCAAGCCCTCCCGAGGGCGCTGATGCTCGGAAGTCTGAGAACGATAGCTGAGGCAGATGACAGGTCCCCCTCACTTCCTTCCCCATGGTCCCTGAGAACTGCTGTGCTGACAGGCAGGGTTGAGGTGGGTCCAGGTGAGTGGGGCCTGATGGTGAGTTGTCCCTCTCGGGAAGGGCTGGGCTGGGGGCTGGTGTCAGGTCTCTGGTATGTGTGGGACAGTGAATGGTGCTGGCCCAGCGGTGCTGGTGTTTCAGGACAGGGCCCTAGAGAAGGGTGACCAAGTCACAGTCACTGAAAGCACGCGTCTCTCCTGACGGCTGCTCCAGAGTGGCGAGGCCTGCTGAAGGGGGGCTTTCCAGGCTGTAGGTGAACAGAAAATGTGGGGACTCTGCTGTGCCTCAGGCTTCAGTATCCCCAACATCTCGAATGCACAGAGAGATCAGAGCTCAAGGTTAAACGTCAGCCTCTGCTTTGGACTTTGTTTTCACCGTGAAGACAGATTGTCCAAATAATGCACATTTCAGCTTTGGATGAAATACCCAGCAATTCAGGATCTGCGTTCGTTTGCAAAGTTTAGGTGCCCAATAAATCATTCTTTTGCAGAGATGCCATTAACTAATAATTCAAAGCTGGTAACCTTCATTCAACCGTGATTAAAGAACTTTTGCTGAATGGCAGGGGATGACATGTTTTTCTGAATGCCGGCAGCAAAATCTGCTTACACCATCCATCTTTACTTTGATAAACTGCCCTTAACTAAGAATTCCAGATGGAAGGATTTTAAATCGAGCATGGCGGTTGGCAGGTTCAGGTCAAACTCTCAATAATGATAAAGACTATTTTATTGCAAACTGTCTTCAGACGGGCGATATTCGTTTAGGTTCTAAAGAGCGGGCGATATTCCAGCGCTTCCCAGGCACTTACAGAATGTGGGCCATTCACACCCGTTGCGTAAGGGTGGGGCCACGAGGTGCAGCTTTCGCATGCTGTGTTCTTGGAGGGAAGACCAGGCTCTGGGTGTGCCCCTCCAGCCTGTCTCTCCCATGCTTGGCCTGCGGGTGCCAGCTGGGATGGCCTGGCCAGCATCCGTGACCAGGTCGTGTTTCTCCTCTGGCCCCCGGCCCCTCACACCGCCCCTCACGTGGCACTGGGGAAGTATGCCCCCTCCTGGCTTGTCTGCCTACCCAGCCCACTGCAGTCCAGCCTTCTGGGGGCAAGTGCTGTCTTACCCGCTTCTGTGGTACACGGCGCCTGGCACGAGCTGGACACTTCATCAGAGTGAGCTGCAGTAGCAGATGAGTGGACAAAGCCCCTTGCTGGTTCACGCTAAGGACGGATGGCTACAGATACACAGCAACGATGGATGGAATGTGCCAGACGGGGAGCTTGTTAACATGCAGATGCCTGGGTCCCACCTCCAGAGCCTCTTTCGGCAGGTCTGGGCTGGGGCCCTGGGAGCCTGAGTTTAAACATGCTTGCCCAAACCCGAACCTTCTGCCCTTACCTTTCTTCTTTGCTTCTGAGAGCCGTGCCCACAGCCTTTGAGCCGTTGGCTCACTTTTCTGACTAGACTGTGGTGAAGATACTGGTGACAGGGGTCCCTGGTCCTTGAACACCCACAAATGAATGGTGCGAGGTGTAACAGGGAGCATGGAGGTCCAGATGGCCAAGGGACATCAACTTAGGATAAACCTGTGAAAACTGCACAGTTATTCATCCGTGCAGCAAATATTTATTGAGAATCTGCTGTGTGTATCACACTGTGCCTCTCCCCATGTGTGAAAGTTTGGACAAACTGTTCAGTCAAACTATTGGGCAAACCTTTGTGGACCTCTCCTCACATGCGGTCCGTGAACCCTCTGACACCTGGCTACTCAAAGTGTGGTCCGTGGACCAGCAGTGCTGGCACTGCCCGGGGAGCTTGTTAGAAATGCTGAATATTGGGCCCCACCCTAGAACTGCAGCCCCTGTGTCTGCATTTCAATAAGAGAGCAAGATGTGACATGTGTGCACATCGAAGCTTGAGACCCACTGGTCAGACACCCACTATTGGGCCAAACGTCTTATAACCAAGTATGTGTCTGTGACGGAGCGCATAGCTTTCATGTGATTCTCACGTTGACCTGTGACCCCCAGAATTTAATCGTGGCCTCGGGGACCATCTAGTCCGGGGCCGTGTTGATAAGAAGTTGTGCTTCCTTGATCGAACCCTGTGAGCGATTTGGGATAAGATTTATGATGGGGCTCGACCTTATGCAGTGATGAAGGAGGTGAGCGAGTCTCCAGAAGGTTGATGCCTTTACATTGGGTGGTTGGCCTGAAGTTCCCGGCTTGAGCAGGGCGGCACACAGAGCAGGAGGGGCGGGGAGAAACTGGAGCCCCCAGGATGGACTAGAACCTGCCTCTGTCTCACACCACGTCTAAGTCCACAAGATGCTTGGCTGGATGGCCACCCTCACACATTGCTGGTCATGCACCTGGTCCACGACTCACTGGAGCTGGAGGAGCCGCTGGTCCCATTGCTGCCCCAGGACAATCAGGTGAGGCCCCATCAGAGGCAACAAGCAGGAGCTTCCACAAGGCCCGGCCCATCAGAGCCCATTTCACGCCGCTTCATGTCTGCCTTCCAGACGGCCCAGAGGCTTCTCTCCTGGCCAACCCTGACCTGGAACATAGAGCAAAGAGGATGTGGGAGATGTAAGTCCCGCTCAGATGTACCGAGGCCGGGCAAGGTTCTCACGCTCCGCAGTCGCCAGGGCCAGGCGGTGCGGTGATGGGTGAAGAGGGACCGGCAGGGCTGTGAGGACCTCCATCCAGGTATACATTTCAGGTAATGAAAGGCGTTGAGGAGAAAGTAAAGCAGGTAATAGGACCGAGAGCCTCGGGGCAGTGGAGGCAGGCCTTGGAGTCCGCAGCCTGTACCTTCCCTCATGAAAGTTTACAGTCAGAGGGGACCAACTAGTAAATAATGGCAGAAATCGATGTAAAAGGACAAGTATGATGAACGCACATTTTAACCAGGTTCCTAGGTGACCTCTTTGCTCAGTAGAGACTGAGAAGTGCTGTCCCAGGGTCTCCTTTATGACCAGTGTATATTCCTTCTTTTAAACAAACACTGCACGTTTTGTGGAGGTGGGTGAGGGATTATATGGCGAGAGAAGACCTAGACAGTCATCTTTGCATGTCTTTTGGAGTCTGGGAGAATTTCTGCCTGTTTAAGAATTAAAGAGTCCAAGCCCATCAATGAGTTAAGGGTATATAGTTTACTTTGTATATAAAAGTTTTGAGTCACTGGAGAAAACCTTCACAAATTACTTCTGCCCCCCTGAAGGAGGCAATGTGTAGCCAAGCAGGCCTGAGACCCAAGCACAGGTTCCAGCAGACGTCAAACCAGACGAGGCTTCAGGCTTCCTAAGAAGCCCGTTAAGCTTAGGCTGGTAGCACGAGATACCACCATGTGGTTTGGGGCATTCTTATTTTGAATTTCCTTTGTGGTTTAGAACTTGAATTTCAGCTTCCTGGTAGACCATGGTATTAGGGTGATGAAATCATAAAGAACACCTAGACTCACAGTAAGAAACCATGACCAAGGGCTGCAATTCCTCATTCATCATTATGCAATCCATGGAGTCTGTTTGTAGCTTCTCTCCATAGATTTCAACTATGACTCATCAAAGACTAAATCAGCCCATTTTATAAACATTCTGTCTCTCTATAGCCCAATGCTTTCAGATATCCTGAATCATATCAGCATACTGGTCATTAGAAGGGAGACCTGTAGCAGTTCACAGATTACAGATATGATTACAAAGCCAAAGTCCAGAACTGGAAAAGAAGATTACAAAATTAACCTCTGTGTCCCAGGCTCACTTGTAAAGCGTGGCACATTTTATAAGATGTCAGTCTCCGAGAACCTGGCACACAGCCAGCTTACAGAATGCTTACCGAATACAATATTCCTGCAAGACTTTTACAATAAATCCAAGCTTAGAATGTATCGAATTTTAAGTACCGTAAAAGGTGTTTTCTCTCGATCAACAGGGCGGTGAACGTGTACTTTCCGTTCACATTATCTTCTATAGAAAACAAACCAGTCTCTAGATATTTATCTACACCAGGTCCAATGATTAAATATACTAATTCCATGCCGGCAGACAAATTACTGAACAGCTGGAAGGAGAAAAAACAAGGGAAAAATGAGGGCGAGAATAAGCCACTACGCCTATCAAATATCTAGGCTAAGATTCAAAGGCATTTGTAAAGAACCATACCCAGCAATTACAGATCTGAGAATTTACCCTAAAGAAATAAACAGATAGGTAGACATGGAGGAACAAGGGGTATAGCAGCAGTTTGGTTTGTAATAGTGAAAAGTTGGAAACAACATAAATGTCCATCCCTATGGAAATAGTCGTGTAGTGGTTCTCCCCTCCCGTGGCATGGGGCTCTGCAGCCTTTCAGGATTTATATTCCCTGCCCCAGAATGAGGGCTGTGACACATGGTAAAACAAGAAAGGCCACCAGCGGGACAGTATACTCAGTGTGATCCCATTAATACAGATTCATAGTAGTGACTGTGCAAAGAAACATCTGAAAGGATACATAGCAAGTTGTCCATACTGATTATCCCTCCAAAGAAGAGTAATAATCATACAGCTAACTTTACAAATTGCTTAGAAGGAGCCAGCTTATATATGCCTTACTTGCACTAACCTTAATCTTTTTTTGTTTGTTTGTTTGTTTTCTGATGTGCGGGCCTCTCACTGCTGTGGCCTCTCCCGTTGCGGAGCACAGGGTCTGGACGCGCAGGCTCAGCGGCCATGGCTCACGTGCCCAGCCGCTGCGCAGCATGTGGGATCTTCCCGGACCAGGACACGAACCTGTATCCCTTGCATCGGGAGGCGGACTCTCAACCACTGCGCCACCAGGGGAGCCCTGCTTAATCTTTTAACAACCCTATAATGAAGGTACTGTCGTTGACCCCATTGTACAGATGAGGAGGCAAAAAGTCTATCTAATTTGTATAGTGAGGATGTGGTACCTCTGGAATACGAACCCACTGAGTCCCCTGACCCTTGGGAGTATTCACTGTTAACCGCTGGGCCTTCCAAAGTGTCTATAGATGGGTTTTTTTCAGTAGGTATATATTATTTTTATAAATATTGAACAAATATGAATCATTTAAAAATTTTTTCTAGGAATCATAGAACGTCAGAGCTGTAGGGGACTTAGTATGTAACTCAAAGACCCATGGAGGTCAGGAAGGTGGTGGAAATGAACAGCAGGGGCCGAGTATAAAAATCCTGCCATCCAACGTCCCCATGGGACTTCTTTGGTGCTTCAGTTGACACTCAAACCTCAAAGTGAGGGAGACAATAGGGAGTGGTGGGGACTGTGACGCCCTGGGTAACTCAAGCCCCAGCAAATTCCTACCATGTGGGGATGTACTCTCCAAGGAATCAGATCTTCCCATTTTTAAAAAGCCTCTAGATGTGCAGAATTTTTAATACAATCACCCTATTTTTTCCAATTTTTAAAATCATGGTACAATATAAAACAGGCCTGCAGGCTGGAACTAACCAGCCTGTTGCCATATGTGATTTTTTTTTAATTAATATTTTTGTTTTGTTTTGTTTTTGTTTTTTTCTTTAATTAATTTTTATTGGAGTATAGTTGCTTTACAAGTTGTGTTAGTTTCTGCTGTACAGCAAAGTGAATCAGCCCTGCGTGTATATATGTGATTCTGACTTTCTCAGCTCACTCTCACATGGAGCAGTGATTTATCCAAAGTCATACACTCAGGTAGAGGCAGGGTGGGCTCTAGGACCCAGGCCTCCTGACTCCTGACCCTGGCCAGTGCTGCCCCTACCACTCCACTACCTGGCCTCCGTAGCCTCCTGCCAACAGCGGCATGCTTAATCGGGGAGGATGGTGTATGATGGGGCCCTTCCTTAGAGCAGCTGCCTTACCTCACCCGCAAGTTTGGGAAAGGGTCCCGAGTCTTCCCCCTCCAGCTCTAGGGTCGTGATAACCCATCTTCTCTTGGGTCGCCGTAGAGGCCGCTGTCTCCCTGGAAATCACAGTGACCGTGGTGAGGAGGAGGGTGTTTGTGGTGCCAGGGGCGCAGTGACTGATAGCCCTTTCCTCTCCCATCCTCACAACAGTCTCCGATGCTCAGCAATTCCAAGTGCCCGTTCTCTCTACAACCCCAGAGTCAGTTCTAAACTGGGGGGCATGTGACACCCAAGGATTTTACATTTTTATGTGGCTCATGACATAATTTCAGGGGCCATGAAGACACAGCACTAAAGATCATCGCCTAGCGTGTGCTAGCACCTGCTCTAAAGTAGACAGGCACAGCGTTGTTGAATTAGTGGGAGATTTACTGCCCCTCCATTTCTCTCTCCATCTTTCTGAAATCCTTGGTGAGAAAGTCTGCATGCAGTGCCGTTGGGTCTTGAATTCCCCTCTGTTTACTCAAGTCCCTTGTAACAGACTTAGACTCAGACGTTAGGGTCAGAGATTTGTCAGGCAAGGGAATATAGATAGAATTTAACCATGTGGTTTCATTTGTTTTATATATATTTTACAGTATAGCCGGTTTCTAGTCACATTCATTTTTATTCACAAGAATGTACTTTAAAAAAATTATGTAATTAGGAAATGAGTAGATCACAAGAACTACAGGAAGGAAACCATAAGGTGGATGAGGATACAACAAAACCTCATGATGGTGGTGGTGACTGCATCCCTGCACTGCCCTGTGCTCACACACTGGGAAATAGCAAGTCTGCTGTTTCTAATTTGTGGGCAAACCTCTGGGCCAGCACTGTGTGCTTGATTCCTGATGTTCACAGATTGCTCGTGTTCTAATTAGACATAAAAGCATCGTCTGCAATTCTCTTCAGTCCTTTGAGATTCTAAAAGGCCACATCTAGTTACTAATTTATTTTGTCTCAACCAAATATTGACAGGGCACTGAAAAACTCAAAATTGCAATCCAGCTTCTAAGTAAAGTACAGTCTCACTTGGTTTATCAAGAAACTGAATTCCAAACCCCACCTTTGTTTGATTAGCAAGACCATCATTTGCTGGTGGGACACTGTTGACCTTAAAAATAAAAATGACATTAATTAGTAGGGAATGTACTTAGCAGAATCAGGTAGAAGCTGCCTAAAGTCACACAAATCTTCTAGAATTAGAAAGGGGAAAAAAGGAACTGCATTCAGTTTTGATAACTATAATTCCTCGTTCTTGACATCTCAATTCATAATTACCACTTCCCTTCTGTAGCTGGAGGAGAATTCTGATTAAGTATTACCAACAGTAGGGACATTTAAAACCCTAAATGTTACTGTTATATTAGCATAACATAATAAATGGGTAATCAAACTGTCTGTTCAGGGTGAGCACAAATGTATTTCCATGGGCACATGTAAATTAGCACCAAACGTTAATTGGTGGTGGGATTCAAGTGGGCTTTTTTTTTGTTTTTTCTTTTATGTTTACCTTATTTTTAGACTTTATCATACAGTCATCAATAAAATTAAGGAATTTGGTACTTTACGTTTACATAATTATTTACATTGAGAATTGTTTATCATTTTTATCTCAACAAATTTCCCCCTCAAAAAAAAAACCCCAAACATGTACAGTAAGAGTGTTGAAGTACCAAGAGAAAGAGACGAGCCCTGCAATGGATGTCAAACCAACACAAAACATGTGTGTCTGTATGTATATGTGTATGTGTGTGCATGTATGTGCATGTGTGTGACACCCATAGTTCTACTTCATTCATTTTCACTGCCCTGTAGCATTTCACTATACGAATAGAGGACAATTTATTTATCGTTCTCCTAATGATGGCCATTTAGGTTATTTCCAGTTGTTTGTTATTACACACACACAAAAATGTTATAAAAATGTTATAAAATGTTATAAAAATGTTATAAAAAATGTTATAAACATCCATATGCACATAGAAAATGTCTCTGGACCCTGGTTTTCACTTTGGTTCACTGTGGTCCCCTGACGCTATCAGAGACTCCACAAGGCCAAACACGTACATAATAATCTAAGATACTATTTGTTTTGCTGTGTGACATTTGCACTGATGGTACCAAAGATTGGTGACAAAACTGCTGATGGCTCAGCACCATTGGAGGCCATGGCACAGATTCCTCTGTAGTCATGCATTCTTCATCACCGCGCACGTGCAGGAAAGAGGAAGGAAGGGAGAGAGGAAGGAAAAGAAAAAAAGCCAGTCTCCTTTAAGAATGATGTAATTGGTGAATTCACTTAGTTATTGAAATCACTTGAGGATGGGCGAGGCAGGAAATGTTATTAATTTATCCCATTGCCACACCTGCATGTCTATCTTTTGAGCACTCTGGGTCTACATGGGAAGGATGCATGAACCCCTGTGCTGCCCATTAGTGTAGAAGGTTTGAATCAAAGAAGAGCACCTTTGTGATTATCAGAGTTGACAGCTGAACAGGCCCCCTTTTTTTTTTTTTTCCGGCGGTACGCGGGCCTCTCACTGTTGTGGCCTCTCCCGTTGCGGAGCACAGGCTCCGGACGCGCAGGCTCAGCAGCCATGGCTCACGGGCCTAACTGCTCTGCAGCATGTGGGATCTTCCCAGATCGGGGCACGATCCCGTGTCCCCTTCGTCGGCAGGCGGACTGTCAACCACTGCACCACCAGGGAAGCCCCAGGCCACGTTTTTCTGAAGCAGCATTTTCCTCGAAAGAATAACTGCCTGACCATGGCTGTTCAGGATCAGGTACTTGACAGGTCGTTGGTAATGAACAGAGTCAGCCCGTCACTTCGAGAAAAACAATGGACAGTCATGTTGCCGACAGTAAAATTTAAGCTCTCAAGCAAAAATTAGAATTTTGGAAAATTTGTGTCTGCTACTCCGAGCTTGACAGCTTCCCAACAGGTAAAGAGTTTTCTGCTGATATCGGTGGACAGATTGATGAATGTGATTTTTTGATTTTGTAGAATGAAAAATGTCAACATTTGGAAGATCTTCGTTGCTCCGAGAGCTGAGTTTCCTACTGATTAAGACATCACGGTCCAAAATCATGCACAGGTGAGAATCATCTGCAGTGCAAGAGACACAAATGGTTTTAATGGAACGGAGTAAGGAAAGTTCATTAATATGCTTTCGGATTCCACATTGCAAGTAAGTGTTAAAAAAGGACCACTTGTCAAGTTTTGGTGTGATGTCAAAAAGAATACCCACAATTATCTGTTCCAGGCGATTAAAATATTCCTCCCTTTCCATATATACCTATGTGAGGCCAGAATTGCTTCACATACTTTAACCAGACAACATTTACAACAGACTGAATTCAGAATCAGAGAGGAGAATCCAGCTGTCTGCTTTTAAGCCGGACAGCCAAGAGATTTGCAAAAAAACATAAAAGAGTGCCATTCTTCAAACTGAATGGAATTTTGAAAAATGTTTATTTTTCATAGACATGTGTGATTTATATTAACATGTAATGGACTTATCATTAACTTTAATGAATTGAGAAATACATTTAAAATTTCCCAGTCTTGGGAATTCCCTCTCGGTCCAGTGGTTAGGACTCCATGCTTCCACTGCAGGAGGCCCAGGTTCGATCCCTGGTCAGGGAACTAGGATCCCACAAGCCACATGGCGTGGCCAAAAAAATAATTCCCAGTCTTAATTTCTAACATGGTAAGCATCAGTAAATATAACCTCATAAGCAACAGTTCTTTGGGTTCTGCATAAAGTTTGCGAGTGGAAAGTCATCCTGAGAGCAAGAGGTTTGATAGCTGCTCCTCTAGGATTTATACGATCTCCCGGGACAGGGTAAGAGCTCACCAGCCCACCTCGAGCCTGCCAAACACCCCTTGTTGTGGTCACACACACCCCACTATAAGGATCTGTAGCAGCATAAAGGACTGTGTAGTAAATAACAGCGTCATAGAAAATAAAGAAACATTCTCCAAATCTTCATTTCTTGTGGTCGGCCACCCTTCCGGTGAGTGGGGTATATTATTGGGTCATCTTGTTTTGTTAATGTCAAATATAAACGTATTTGTTTCCTGCCACAGACTCTATTTCTATCTTTTTCCCTAAAGGCAAAGAATTTTTTTAAACTCTTTCCAAAATGTCAAACATCGACTTATTCAGACAACAAATGCTTCTTGATTAATGTTGTTAATTTTAAATTAAGAGCCTAACCTCATGTGGAATTTTAAAATGGAGAAAATTGCAGGTCTTGCAACAGAATGAAGAAATTCATTCCATTTCTAAGACAGGTGTATTTCCGGGTGGCCCAGGTCATGAACAAGGAATACATTAAGGTTTTGTCTCCTCGCTGGCCTCAGTTTCCCCTTCTGTGAGCAAGGGTGTGAAGCGAGGTGTAGGGCCCTTTCAACAGGAAAGCTCTAGTTTCATTTTCCTATGACGGCACATAAACAGCACAGCCGACAGTCACTAGGAGCTGGCTGGAGCGCTGGAAAAGAGGCCTGAAAGAGTGTATTTCTTCGCCCAGAGACACCTGAAATTTCACATCCTTGTGTGCACATGTGTGTTGTTTCTCCTCTCCTTATGCACCACTTGGAATTCATTTGCACTGTCTCGACTGGTGAGGCAGGAAGACTGGAAACAGTTAATATTTGTCGAAATGATCTTGTAAGTACGCTTATTATAGCTCCCATCCCTGCCAATTTTAGGCTGTTTGTCCAAAGAGGATGCCATTCAAAAGATTTACATAATGTTTTCTGTAACGCGACTGGGGAGCAAACTTTCTCCAAGCGCATCTCCAGCTGCACTGTCCACCTATTTCATGGGAGTGTGGCAGGTGGGCGGTCACTGTAAGGTCCAGCCTGCCCATCACATAATAGCTGCTGCTGACTTGAGGGCATGTCACCGGCATTGTGCGGGCCAGGCTGAGGAGCCGTGGCAACACTGGGGAGAAGTCTTCTCAGTAAATGAAGGCTTTGTGTCTATAGAAGGTCGTAAAGAACTAAGAGACCTATATGGAATTAATTCTTTCCTGAAAATATTTTTCACAGCAAACTTGAATTCAAGAACAATTTTTTTTATTGGGGTATCATTGACATGCACCATTATATTAGTTCCATGAGCACAACACAATAATTCAATCCATATATGTATGTATTTCGAAATGATCATCACAATAAGTCTACTTAATATCTGTCACCATTTATAGTAACAGATTTTTTTTCTCGTGATGAGAACTTTTAAGATCTACTCTCTTGGCAAGTCTCAAATATGCGATTTGGAATTATTGACTAGAGTCGTCATGCTGTACATTTCAGTTGCCTTAAGCCACCTAGTTTGTCCTCTGTAATAACAGCCCTTGGAGACGAGCACACGGGTCCAAACACATTCTCTGCATATGGAAGCTTGGCTGATCGTCTACAGGTGCGGATTTGGCATAGAGCAACAGAAAATGTGGTTCTCAGGGCTCTTAGGACAGAGCCCAGCCACTCTGCCCCCTGCTGAGGGCTCAGCATCACCTCTGACCATATGACCCCTCACCTCCTGCAATCCGCCAGCTCTGTTGTTCTTGAATGAAGTGGTTGAGTGAGTTAATCAGGCAGAGCATAAATGCTAACAAACTTTTCAAAGATAACTCGACTCAGAATTTCCCAGATTAAAAACAACAACCAACCGTTAACAGACTTTGTGCACTAACTTCTTTCCCAAACCCTCCCTTCTCTTGGGTCCTGGAAGCTGCCACAGCCCAAAGCTGAGGATGTGCAGGCTCTCAGGACTGGAAATGGCAAATAGGGGAGCAGGACCCTGCTTCTGTGGCTTGTCGTGGAATCTGGGACAAAGACCTGCAGCAGAGTCACAGCTTTGTCCTTTGCTTCATGTCAGGATGACAAAGCAGGGGTGGGGGATTTGGGGAGAAAACTGTCGTAGACATTGCAGCTCTTCAGCAGAATGGGTACCAGTTTTAAATCTGGATCAGAGGAGGGGGAGGGGGTGCCTGCTTTGCATGTCAGAGCTGGTCAGAAGCCAATGTGGGAGGAAAAGGTAGGGGTGGAAAGGAATAGGTTACTTACAGCCCGCTCAGCAAATAATTGGGCACCTCCCAGGCGCAAAGGTCTTCGTCAATTAAGGGTCCAGAGTGTGGATTGCTCAAAACCTCTGAATCCTGCTGCATCCCATTCTTTCCCTTGGCCTTGATACCCTGGAATCTATATAAAGCTGCTTTCAACAAACACGGAATTGCTACCCACAGTCCAGTCCTACTGCCCAGCCAACCCACCACACCCTCCGACGTGAATTGACCTGCCTGGGCTCTGTGCTAACATAACAGAAAGGAGAAAAAATACACCTCTGTTTTCTAATGAGTCCAGTTAGGGGTGAGGGCAGGAGCAAGACAAAGATGGAGACAGGGTTTGATTTGTGATGTATTCAAATCCAGGTGAACATGGGCTACTGAAACAGGATTCCACCAGAACACACAACTCCTCATGGCAAAAAGTAACCAAGAGGGCTTCCCTGGTGGCGCAGTGGCTAAGAATCCGCCTGCCAATGCAGGGGACCAAGGTTCAAGCCCTGGTCCGGGAAGATCCCACATGCCGCAGAGCGACTAAGCCCCTGTGCCACAGCTACTGAGCCCCTGCGCCACAACTACTGAGCCCGTGCGCCTAGAGCCCCTGCTCCTCAACAAGAGAAGCCACCACAATGAGAAGCTCGCGCACCGCAACGAAGAGTAGCCCCCGCTCGCCACAACTAGAGAAAGCCCGCACGCAGCAATGAGACCCAACACAGCCCAAAAGCAAATAAAATAAATTTATAAAAAAAGGTTCTTCCATGTTAAAAAGTAGCCAAGAAAGTCCTCCGAACACCAAGCAAAGGGTGCCAAATAAGGCATCAAATTTCAGAAGCAGAGCTGGCTAGAGGACTGGGAACTTTTTGTATGCTCCTTTGTTTACTGTTACACCCCAGTGGCTATGAAAGCACCTGGCTCAGAACGAGTAGCCTATCAGTAGTAGCAGCCCCGGCCCTGAGTAAACAGAGCAACCATTTCACCAGGGCTGCGAAAACGGAAAGATGCAGATTTTCTGTATTACCTCATTGACTCCCACAGAAAAGGACAAGCATTAGCTCCAATTTCAGGTGGAGGAAATGAGGCTTAATAAGGTGAAGTTAAAACCTTTAAAAACCGGACGCCCAGGCCACACCCCACTAACCCAGCGCAGGCCCAGCATCTTGACCCCCGCGCACTGCAGGGCCTCCTGCCTCTGCCCTCGGCGGGTTTATAAGGAGGAACTCAGCAGCAACGCGAGAGTCTCACGGTTCTCCTTCCCACTCTGAGGAAAGTGACTAAGCAGGTCATGACCCGCAAGCATATGCAGCAGCGTTAACTCCGTCCACTGTAAGTACAAACAGAACAAGCCCATACTTTTCTCACCTTGATTCTACTGTTTCCCAGTTGAGCCGAGGCAACTGGTGGGGGACGGGGGGATTTAGCTTTCCCACCCCCATCGGTTTGCTCAAACCGTCTTTGACATACTCAGTTGAGATTTTCTCAGTCTTATGTAAGGTGAATAGACGTATCCTTAGGAAATGTGTTGATATAAATCTAAAAGTGTGTGTACTATGTACACCGGTTTTAAGGCGAGTCCCCTTAGCCTGTTCCCACTACTCTCCCAAACAGATCATGGCGCTAAACCCTTCCTTTGTATAAATTCTGGAAAATCCTTTTCCTCCCCTGTACTAAAGTTCCCAGCCCCCTCGCTCTCAGCTGCAGCCGATCACATGCAGTCCACCCCCGACCCCTTATCCTCGAAGGGGCAGAGCCAGCTGGAGCTGTGCTCTCCGTTCCTGGCACCTGGCAGATAGATCCCACACGCTAGGTTGTGGGTACCCGTCCCTGCTCACCTGCAGCATCAGCAGTGTGAGAAGAAGCAGCAGCACGGACTGGGCCCTGGAGCTCATGCCGATGTGGGGATGCCTGGGATACACCCAGAGCCTGCGGGCGATGGTCAGTCCTCCGGGCCGTGGGCTCACCTGTAGCCCAGCCTTTCCAGCAGGCCCTCTCCTCCAGTCACTCTTCGGTCACTTTGTCCCAG